TCTGGTGTGCCACAGTGCTTTTTTATTTGAGTAAGTGTGCTGTGGGGCAGAAAAAGTTGGGAAATGCTGACCTATTAAAATCAGCCTCTCAGCAGAGACCAAGGCTTAGGTCCTCAAAGATACTGAGGTACCCTGCCACCTACACTGGAATCCTCATGCCTGAGTCAGGTGCACTGACTGGGATGTCAGGACCTTGTTACGCATTGCACTCTGAGCTGCTCAAATTTTGATCAGTGTCAGTGCTACCTCAAGTTTGGAGTAGTCACACCTTAAGACTAAAAACCTTCTCTGGGGACATTTATACACATACTTTTTTGAGGTACAGCTGTGAGTTGCCACTACAGGGCAGGTGAGCCAGGAGAAGCTTCTATCCCTGCTCTAGGTGGGAGTATGTTGAAGAGATAAGGGGTGGGGTGTGCAGGGGGACATGAAGCTGGGAGGCAGCGTTAATGGGATGGGGGTGGGTAACGAAATGGGAGGTAGAAAGGAAATGGGGATGCAGGAAGGGTGGTAATGAAGGAAGTCAGCCACTGAAGGATAAAATAAAAAGAAGTAAAACAGAATTAAAAAGAATTAAAGGGGAATTAAATTAAAAAGATCTCATGTTTTAATAAAGTGGGATTTTGAACTCGGGTGTGGAGGTGCTGGTTATGCTTGCTGTGTTGGCAAGGTAGTGGGAGTGGTGAGGGAAGATGCTTTTGGGGGAGCTATTGCCCCTGCCCCAGGATGGAAGCCCCAGTTTATGAGGACCCAATCCAGACACCTACCTTTTTCTACTCCCAGCCCCCCTAAATTCCACTCCTGGACCTGCCTATGTCCTGTGAACTGGCTAGCTGGCATGTGCTCTGCAGGCTTTTTGCACAGGATTGCACCCATAGGAGTGGGAAAAATCACACCCCCAGGCGCAGAAGGGGGAGTCAGCTTGATGCCAGAACCACCCCTGGGCAGCAGAGTTCAAAAGGTAGAAAGTCTGTCCATAAAAAACAGGAGGGTGGGGGAGGGGACACTGCCTCCTGGAATACTGAAAGACTTCAACTTGAGCAGCTCATCTGTGGGGAAGGGCACATATTAATGCAACATGAGCTGGGTAACGTGGATCAGAGGGTGCAGACAGAAGTGCAGCTCCCAGCTGTAACTCAGAACAACTTCTGCAAAGCATTTGGAGTTACAATGTTACCCCAGACCAAACTGAAGTTCACTGTTGGTTCCAGGGGGGAGGGGAATCGAGCTGGCTGGGAGCCTGCAGCCAGGGCTCTCTGCCAGCGCCTGCTGTTTTCAGAATGGGAGTGGGGAAAGGCAGCAGAGGATGCTCCCCAGCTGGCAGTGAAGGGTCAGGTGGGTCAACTGGAGTTTCTGCACCTCAAATGACTCCAATACGCCTGCCCCACCCTCAGGGGCAGCCAAAAAAACCCCAAACTGAACTCCCTCTGCTCCCTTTGCCCCCTCTCATTCTGAAAACAGCAACAGGCTGGGTGCTCCCCAGACACAAGTTACAACAGACAGCAAATTTTGAAACATCTTTATCATGCAACAAGGGGTCAAATTTTCACCAGATCAAACATTTTTTAAGCTGTGTGCAGCGATGCATTTGCCATGCATGGCTATAAATTGCCTTCTGTAGCCAGACTGAGTGAAAATTGTCACTTCCGTCTGCACCCAGAGAAAAACCTGGAGTGGCATAACTTTAAGCCACCTAAAATTTACTTAAAACTAATTTCAGATGTTAATGTGTGGACAATCCAGGGGTTAAGAGCTACAGAAGCCAGCTAACATGTAACAAAGCCCTCAGACACCTAAGGGAGAGAGACTAAAAAAATAATTAAGTGGATTGCCACCTAAGCTACCCAGCAGGGAAAGACAGAGGAAACAGGTTAACCTGTTCAGCCTCCAGAAGAGAAGGCTGAGGGGGGGGATCTAGTGGCCTGTTACAAACTAGTCGGGGGGGGGGGGGGG